GTGTTCACTTTGAAAAAATCATTTTTCCGCAGTAGAAGCATGCCATACTGACAACATAAATGCTAAGGTTCCACGAATTACGAACGGTCTTTTCATCATAGAACTGCTGATAAGTCAACATTTATTTACCATCTGTAGTTAGTGACGCAACAGAACGAATATACTGTTTTTCGACAGTGATTTCACCCTACTACAACCCTAACTAGATAGTAAAATAGCCGTCACGTGAAACGACCGTGAATCGACCATCTTTTCACTATGGAGTCACCGCGGATTTACCGTAAACATGAAACCGCCAGGGTTTGGCTTGGCAGGTAATTTTATACCCAAGCTGTGAAAACTACTTGTCTATTAATTTGATCTCAAGAATCTGGGACTCATAGTAAGCCTACTTATATAATAAATAATCTTAAAACATAAATGTGAATGTTCAATACATTTATAACAGCATTACCGAACGTATTTATTTGATTAAAGACATTAGGTGCAATATCAATTTCCAAGTTGGATACAGAATTGGAAAAGCTATTTGAAATTTACATAAATGATTGCATTGGATACTTTTAATCCAGGCTCTAGTCACAATTAGCTCTTTCTTTAAATTCACATAAATGAGTCTTCATTTACACGATATATTTATTCAGTTACTGGAGGGTTTATCTGGCACGTGACCATGCATGATGAAAAAATAGCTAAGACGTGATTGGATTCCAGATAGTTATTTAATCACATAATTAAATTTTCAAGTATAAGTCAACATGGTGACCCAGGAATTTACATATCTTTAGTATCGATTATTTCTGGTGCGTGTCTATTCATTGAATTTTGCAATTCATTAATTATTATTGTTATTCGTTTCCAGGAAACATACATTTTCCATATCATAATTCTTGGAGTTCAATAGTACCTACTCACAACAAATTAGAACACGTGTCACTCAGACATACTTTATCGATTACCATGAACTTTGTCACCTACCGGATGTGTGACAGTGACGTAGACGTTCAAAAGCGTTTACAAACTCTATATAAAGCACACCAACCAAAACAGCTCACACACTTCATAGCCATCAGCCGTACAAGCTTGACAGTCATTCCGATAAAAAGTATTTAAAAAAAATGAATAAATTCATTTATTTAATGCTTTTACCCATGGTGCTGGGCAAAAACATGAACATAGGGGGGAGAAGTCAACTCTCAATCAAATCCAGCGAATCGTACACTTTCCATTCGACTCCAGCAACCTTCGAAGAAGCCAAAAGTATATGCAAACAAGAAGGTGGAAGTCTTGCTGTCGTTACCTCCGAGGATGCAGAAGATGTGAGTATTCATTATTTTTCGAGTATTAAATTCATCAGTGAATGAGGCAAATCAAGATTCAAACGTAAAATTTTGTTAAGCTTTATTAGTAAACTCTGTCATACTTAGATTATCAAAAAAAAAAAAGGCATTTTGTCTGCTAGTCATCCATAAACGCTAATTGTACTAAAATAATTGTTTCTCACCAGGAAATGCTGAAGATTTGGAGGCATTCAAGCCCTATTCTAGACCCGACAAATGGATTGACTTCACAAGCTTACATCGGGATCCATAGCTTGAATGTAGAAGGTCACTGGGAAACAATCGATGGAAAATCTCCAAAATACATCAATTGGAGTCAAGACTGGGCAGGTGGACGACAACCGAGCACCCCTAGCGTTCAAAAGTGTGGTAGTTTGTTAAAACAAGGAGGAATGGATGATGTAGAATGTTCGTTTAAGCTCGGTTTCTTCTGCACAAAGGAGTGATATTGAAAAATTTATCAATAATTATAGAGATTACTACCTAAGAATAAATGAATGTTTTTTTTGCTTTAACTATTATTCCTAATAATGCCATAATATTATAATGTATAGACAACAATAAATTTCTTTATTTAAATTTAAAATAACTTTAATTTCAATGTTCAATCCGTTTCACCAATCACTACGACCTTAGTAGATAACGTTCGGAGTTTATGATTCTGATTGGTCGACGCCCCACTCTAATCGCAACCAATCAGTATCATGACGGACGCCTCGTCATGTTCGATCGCTAACCTTCGAATCAAATATAGAAGGAAAATAACGACATGGCGCCGCTATTCGCACAGGCTTTAGCTTAGTGCTTAGTGAGCACTCATAGACTTTATATTGACTGTTAAATACTACTTTGTAGAAATTTGCAGTACAGGCATCCTGAATAAAAGACGTAAAGACTCATAATCTGAGAGATCGTATACGTCGATCTGAGTGGATGGGGCTATGATCATATTGTTCATGTTCCTAATTGTTCCTAATCATCATGAAGTTTTCCATCATTTCTCCGTAACTGTTCTGAAGTCAGCGAAACAGGTACTAACAATTCCTTGGGCGTCTTATGCTCGTCTGCTGCTTCAATCCTTGAATAGATACTGTGTAAATAATTGACTCAGGTGACATATTATACAGATTCAGACATTAAGGTGCGTTGATTGATTGATTGATACTTACATGATGCGCCCAAAATAATGATACACAAAATGATAACTGTTTTATCAACTATCATGGTTCCACCGTCGAAGATCAATTGATGCTCCGTCTGTTCTGTTTCAGCCAAACAACAACAGGCAGAACATCTGTTCTGTTTCAGCCAAACAACAACAGGCAGAACATCTGTTCTGTTTCAGCCAAACAACAACAGGCAGAACATCTGTTCTGATGTTAGCCGAACAATAACAAGCAAATACGTATGGGCTGATGTCATTCGAACATGTGTTGGCTCAGTGAACTCACGAAGATCAATACGTGACCACTAAGCGACTCAGCTCCGATTGTGACTGTTAATTACTAGGCTGTGTTACAGGTCTACTCATAAAATCTCTACTCACAGCCATCAACGACATTTGCACTCAATTACATTTTTATTCAAAATCATCTTCATTCAGTCACAACTTTATTCATTTAAATCTTTACTCTGATTCAACTTTATTCAATATTATTTGCCTTCAGGTAGAACTTTAATCAGTTACAACCTTACTCAAATTCAACAGTAGTCAATTATAACTTTCCTCAGTTTCAATCGTATTTATTTTCAAGTCTATTCACTGAATTTTTAACTCAGTTATATCTCTATTCACAAAGAATCTATTCACTTACATTTGTAATCATTTACAACTGTACTCAGGTTCATCTCTACTCACAAATTTATGGTTAATTGATAATGTAAAAATTCGTGAGTAGAGATGAACCTGAGTACAGTTGTAAATGATTACAAATGTAAGTGAATAAATTTTTTGTGAATAGAGATGTAACGATTCTTTGTGAATAGAGATGTAACTGAGTTAAAAATTCAGTGAATAGACTTGAAAATGAATACAATTGAAACTGAGCAAAGTTGGAATTGACTACTGTTGAATTTGAGTAAGGTTGTAACTGATTAAAGTTCTACCTGAAGGCAAATAATATTGAATAAAGTTGAATCAGAGTAAAGATTTAAATGAATAAAGTTGTGACTGAATGAAGATGATTTTGAATAAAATTGTAATTGAGTGCAGATGTCGTTGATGGCTGTGAGTAGAGATTTTATGAGTAGGTCTGTAACACAGCCAATTACTACTCTGTAAGAATTTGCAGTACAGGCGTCCTGAATAAGCGAAGTAAGAATGATTACCGCTGAACTTGAAGTGACGCAAATGTAGTATGTAGCTTACTAAGCCCTAGATACTTAGGTTCTTCAAGTACGTACTATTTAAATTCAAAACTTTTAATTATCTAAGCAATTTATAAACTGACAGAGTTTATATCTTTAACTTCAATTCTGGTTATAAAGTTTGTAGCTATAGGATAAAATGAAAAACTGTTTTGTTATATCAGTACAATAGTGTATTGACTAAAAAAGATATCACATAATATTTTAACATCCTAAATATTTACATTTCGTATAAACTATTTCACACTATTTACTGGAGATGCTTCTCTTACAGCTCCGAAAGCTTAAGTTAAACCAATAGCAGCCTCATTTAGTCTCAGTTTGATATTATTCAGTTGTTACTTTACTGAATCTAATAAAAGGTTCTTTTGCAGCATTTTCTTCTTGACTAACTTTGTAACGGAGACAGTAAATTTTTACAACAGTAAAAAGAATAAGCAGCAAAATAACAGCACAAATAGATACGACAATAATTATCACGGATGGGGAATGTTGACCAGCGTTTCTACTTTTCTCAGAGGCATCTTTAATCATAACAGAAGTCGATGCAGGTTCCTTAAAAGTGAAGTCTTCCGTAGTAGTTACTGGCAATGGTGATGTCACTTCAGAAAAATCATCTTCTGCAGTCGATGCTGGCAAACCAGAACCGTCGTCAGTGAAGGAATCATCCTGACCAGAACCTTCGTCAGAGAAAGAATAATTTATTGTAGAAGTCGTTAATCTTGATACAGAGTCGTTTAAAGAGCGATCTTCATCAGTTATCGCTTTGAAAGATTGTTCTCCGAACCATCTTGCAAAATCTTCAGGAAGAGAAAGTCCTTCCGCCTCTTTACCATCTGGAATAGCTTGGATCCCTGGTAGAGATACAGACAATGTAAGAATTTGCATTTGATATGATGAGCAAACTTGAATTCAGGTTAGAAAAGATATTTGTATGATATTATTAAAAGGGTTTATGAAAAATAATTTTAATTTCTACTTACATGAAACACTGAATATGGAGATACATAAAACAATCACTGATTTATTGGCCAACATTGTTCGCCACCCGCCTAGACACGAATACCATTCGCACAGTTCGGTTCCTTCTTATAACGATAACCGGATAAATTAATGTCGTCGAATAGTAACTCATGATCAGTTATCGATTCTACGTAGAGTGATATCATGCACTTGAATTAAATATTCTACAGCATAGCTAAACTATTGTTTGCACAAGCTTTTACGACTCATAACCTGAGAGGTCGTATCCGTTGACTTGAGATAATGAGACTATTATCATGTTGTTCATGTTTCTGATTCGTAATTGCCCCATTCCAATTCCGAGTTATTAGCCTCAAAATAGAATGCTTTTGTGTTCGGATGACCTTCGGCTCGAACACCAGGCAAATACCTAAAATTTGTCATTATTTAAACATGTATTGGCGCAGTGAACAAACAATGACCAACACGTGACGACTGATTGATAGCTTCTATATTAACTGTTGAATATTAATTTATAGGTATTTACAGTACAGTTCTACTAAATAAAAGTAATAAAAGCTACTACCGCTGAATGTTAAATTATAAAAATTTACAGTGTAGCCCACTGAGCTTCAGACGCTTTAGTTCTCTAGGTACAAACTTCCTAACTGGAAAACTTTTAGAGATCCAAGTGAATAGCTGACAGAGTTAATATCTTTAAATGTATAATTAAGGTTCTCGAATTTTCGACTGTTATAGGGTACACATAATCAAAAACTTGTTTTATCAATATAAAAATTTACTGTCTAAAAGATCCAACATAATATGTACAAGTTATAAGAATTAATAAAATGATATTGCGAGTTTTATATTCTATGAATATGACTAAAACAAAAAGATACAATTAATCTGCTCACACTATTTGACACATTTGACGTTATTCGACCGATTTTCCTAAAAGACTATCTACTTCTATCGTAGTTTGATACACCATGTTTGGATGTTTACCAAATTGACTGTAATCTAATTCAGCAGTTTTACGTACGCAGTAATTTTCTCGAATAACAAGAAACAGTATAATCAGCAGAAGAACAAAACTGATAGAGCCGATTATAATATGTGCGTTCAAAAGTGATTCAATAGAAGGTTTAAGTTTCTCCGATGTGATTTCTTCATCGTACCGAATTAATGACATAAGCTCCTCCAAAATGGTTTCGTCTTCAGTCTGTGTTGCTAAAGACAATTCTTCTTTGACAATACCACCTTCTGTGGTAGTCGCTCCAATAAATTCTGTTTCTTCAGAGGGACGATTTCCTGTGCTATGCAACGATTTCGATAATTGATAAGATAAATCATCTTCCGTCGTAGATGATGGCAGTGGAGTCGTTGATTTCCCAGGAGTAGAATGAGATACTGGATCCAGATAGAGTAAAGGACTTTCCAAAATAAGCAATTGCCCTGGTCGAGGTGTTAAAGGATATTCAGAACCATCTACTTCTCTTCTACTATTCTCGTCTGTTGCTTCGATCCCTGAATAGATAAAAAAAACTGTGTAAGTAATCGAGTCAGGTGACATATAAGACTGATTTAGAAATTAAGGTACGTTAGTTAATTGATACTTACATGCTACGCCCAAAATAGCGATGCATAGAGTGATGACTGTTTTATTAACAATCATGGTTTCACTGTCAGAGTTCAAATGAAGCTCCGTCTGTTCTATTTCGACTTTTATACATTCCTATGGATCAAGCCGAATAAAAACAGGCAAATACGTATAGGCTTACGTCATTTGACCATGGGTTGGCTCAGTGAACTCACGAGGACCAACACGTGACAACTGAGTGACTCAGCTACAATTGTGACTGTTAATTGCTAGTTTGTAGGTATTTACAAGACAGGCGTCCTGAATAAGAGACGTCAGAATAAATACCGCTGAAATTAAAGTGCCGCAAATGTAATCTGAAGCTTACCAAGCTTCAAGCTCTTGGAGTATTCGGCTACGAACTTTCTGACTTGAGGACTACTGATGGTATGATGTTTAACCGCTAGAAAAAAGATCTAGTCAAATACTTATAAGAAGAATTACGCCTTCGGGCTTAATCGTTAAAACTCCGGAATAATCGTATAAACTCGGGAATAATCGTATCACGCTATGGCCGTCGCTCATGCGCGCCTTGGTTAGCGGTAGAGAAGCCGGCTCGCGTGGTCTGCTGCAACAGTTGTGCTTGGACCTTTGTACTAGTACGACTACTCTGTGCTAATCAATTCTGATATTTTTTACTTGCATCTCACATTCATTCAAATATTTAAATTATTCATTAAATATAAATAATTATAGTAGATTCAATTATACTTTAAATTCTCAATTCATTTAAATCAGTTTAATAGTTTAGTGAATTAACATAAATAAGTAAAATCAAGTAAATTTATTTAGTGACGCCACGCGGACATTACGCGCCACCGTTAACGAAGGATTGCATCAGCCACGCGGCTTTAGTCAATCCATAATTGACGCGTGATATTAACAATTAATTACATTAAATCAATTATTAACATTTAATTACGATCTTATTTCATTTAACTTATAAATAATCAAATTCCAATTTCAAATCATTTGACTAATTTCTATATGAAAAACATCAAACTCAATTGACTAACATTCTGTTATCAATTGAACATTATTAGCACTCACCTTGAGACAATTGAACATTAATAGCTCTCACTCTGAGACAGTTCAAATTAATTAGATATTACCAGCTCCCACCTTGGGACTTATCTAATTCAAATTATCGATAATTTTCTATCTAAGGTGGCTGAGCTCACCCCTATTGCGTTATTGCAACGTAATTTACACACACACTTACACACATACAATTTACTTGTATAATTTTCATCAAGGAGGTTTTTTCCCAGCCTAGCTGGGTTTTCCTCCTTTGGGGACAGATAAATTCTTCTAAATTGTTCCCCAAAAAATCCAAGCATTATTATTTAATTTCCTAATCCCAACTTTATCGTATAATTTAAAACAATTACGGGAATTATCCGCATTGGATAGTTTTCGACAAAACATATGATGTTACTTAATAAAAAAATTTTTTATTAGTATGAAAATTTATTAGTCAAATGCTTACAGATTATTCAGACTAATCGAATACAAGTTTTATTTCTCATGGAAATGATTAAAAAACATAATAATAACAATACTTATGGTGATAATCAATAACCATATTCACTAGTTTGGTACTAAACATCTAACATAAAGAACGGGTCATTAAAACTACTTAGAATCCCACAGACACTGATTCAGATTTTAAGACAAGTTTATTCTCTGCGTGACGTCGGAGAAAGTCTCTTGCTATATCAACGATCAGCTCATTTATAACTTCAGGTAGCGCAGATTTAATTGCATCTTTAACACCAAGTTTGAAATAATCATCGGCTATGAATTTTGCTGGAGATAAGGGAAGCTTACTTGTAGTCTCGTATGAAGTTTCTTGGCCTTGAACATCATCAATTAGCAATAATTCGCCATTTGTAGACTCAACAATAACGTTGTTTTCCACCGGTGGTTGCTCCTGACGTAATAAAGATATTAAAGAATCTGAAACGTTAATATCATTTGAGGAATCAAGGGATCCACCGCTAGGGGAAAACCAGTTTTCAGCACGAGTTTTTGCAGATTTAGTATTGAGCTCCATATTCTTTCTTGCCATAAGTTGCTGCAACTCATCCCAGGAGGATACAGGGATTCTATTGATGTCATACTGGAGATTGTGCGGTTTTACAATGTTATCAATCGTATTTTCAAAGAATATTACCAGCAGGACTTTAGTCAGTATAGTTAACTTTATACGCCTGAAGAAGTTCATAGGATAAAGGCACAATCCTAACAAACAGTTGTCATGAATGCAGCCTATCCTCTGCCTACAGCCTGAAACACAATTGAATCCATATTAACAGCAATCCAATAACGTCAAGCAGTCTCTGAAAAAATTATCTAATCGATGATCAACATAGGCTTCCACTTATAAGTAACGTGTGCAATAATTATAATTAATTGTCTTATCGTTAAAAAATTTTATCTAATTGATATGTAAGGCTAATTTTATTTATGGTCAGTAAAAATATTTGTAGCTTTTATAACTTGATAGTCATTTATGGCCATATTAGGATCTATATTTATATAATAAAATTATTTTTTTTTCAAATATTTCTTTTATTTAACATTTCATGTTACTCAAAACTTCATAATGCAAATGATTAAACTGGTTAGTTTCATTAGATCATACTTTACATTCAAAATTATTATTTGTAATTTTTAATTCATTACTATACATAAGTTTGCTTTTTTATCTCATCTGAGCTATTTTGCAAATATTTATATGATTGATCTCTTTATTATTTCATTAATTATTTTTTATTCCATTTGTTTTGTGAAGAAATTTGGAAACCACATCCACACAGTCTTTTTGTGTGTCTTACAACCAAAGACTAACAACCGAAGACTCATTTCTACGATGAAAAATATTTATAACTATCTACAGTTTTTATATTATCAATTATACGTTGTAGTTATTGGCGTAACTAGTATTAGGTTAAGTTGTTTATAATGTGTCAGCGCGATGTTTTTAGCTTGAGTCGTAGTTGCTCAGGCATACTGCGCACCAAAGACAAGTGCCAAAAACATCGCGGATAACGGATTATGACTTAACCTACATGCTGCGCCCATAATTTTTTTTCAATTCATGTGCGCTATTTACATCTTATTAATTGTCTGAAAAGCAAAGTCTAAATAGTTGTTTAGCGACACAACCCCAACAGCACAATAAAATGTTTTGGTTTAAGGTTAGGTCTTCTCGAATAAAATTCCTGTTAAAAATATTCGGCATTATAATCTTGGCTACTCAATGGATAACTGGGAGTTGTAATTACGCACCATCTTGTAGGAGCTTGAAAAAAAAAAATTTCGTATATTTTTATTACGTCACAAGAGTCGTGATTGTAGCACATTTATTGCGTTTTGACATATAATTTGTCACCAGTCGATAAACGGCCAGTTTGAGTTCAGATTTTAGGTATGTTAATACGTGAATAACACGCATGAGTAGAATAACTGTCTCTAGGAACTTTAGGTATGTTTATTTTGGAGTGTATGATTTAATTTTTTGCTAAGCAATCAGCGTTGCAGATAGCTGATAGAGTTAAATTTTATTGTTACTACTTTTGAAAGTATTACCCTTCACTGAAACAGCATAAAAAAGTAAGGGTTTTATCATACTTATATGTATAGCGTTAATTATTATGAATAATTTTTTCACATTTCAAGGAAGATAGAATTCCTTTAATCTGATTGGCTTTGATACATATTTTTTCCATAAGTTTCAAGTAAGCCAGCGTGGGGTCTAATGTGATCCCCAAGTACTCAGTAACAGCACTAAGTTCGATTCTTTAATATTTAAAATTTAGAAATAGATTTGCTTAGATATTTTAAATTTATTTGTATATTAATATAAGATCAACTCTGTTTTAGTAGCATTAATCTTTATTTACAACTTATTGAAGTCGTTTCTATATTCTAAGTAATGTTTTAGTTGAAAATTTGGAGGTATAATTCTTATTTACATAAGCTACAAAAAAATATAAATCCAACATATACTACTGAAGTACTGTGAAGAGGAAATTTCGGAAATAAAATAGAAAAATTGGTAAATAAGTCAGTTTATTCTGTTTTATAAAGGTGTAAAACAGTTCTTCAAAGGTTTAAAGTTGTAGAACATTAATTATTCTACACATGCCGATATAATAATAGAATTGATAACAACTCCTATACAGAAAAAAAAAATTTACTTGAATCCTGTAAATAATTTTGAAAAACTTCATCTTCTTGATTTGAGTAAAAAATTCTTAAGCTAAGAAATTTTTCTTGTTTTAAGTAAATTTTACTTGATTCAAGAAATTTTCGTCTCGATTCAAGACAATGAAACTTTTTAAAATTATTTCCTTGGTTTAAGAATTTTACTCTTGATTTGAGTTTGTTTAATCTTCTGGGACATCCTTAACATTGTACGTAATGTCTTTCTGAGTAAGCCTTGATCCCAAGAAGTTTTTACTACTCGAGTCAGATTCTTGGATAGCGTTGCCTGATCCGTAAGTTGCTCCGCCATAAGTATGTCCACCTTCCGGAAGTTTTCCCCCCACCATGATGTGTGTCTGATCAGTTTCCGTTCCCAAGTGATTCTCACCAGTCGTGTTGCTTCCTTGAATGACATTATTGCGTAGAACAGTTAGGGCACCAAAATTGTTTCCTTCTCTCATATCCTTGAAGTCTTCAAAGAGTTTTACGTCATTAGGATTATCTGCATTTATGTTCATTGATGTTTCGTCCGGTCGGGGATATGCACTTGCTGACCCAATAGAGTTTCCACTTAGTAATGCTGTAACAAAAAATAACAAAAAGAATTTTATTATTGACCTCGTAGCCAAGATGAGTGATCTGTTATAAAATCTAAAATTCGAGTCAATATATTAGATAATAACATATATTTAGGTAACTCAGATGTTACGATTATAAATAGCACTTCTAGAATTCACGCAAATCCTCTAAATGACACGACGTAATAGTTATAAAGTTATTCATTAATATTTAAATAACAAAATTGTCTATATTTAATATTTAAAAATTAAAATATCATAAGGCTCCTCTATTAAATATCTTTTACATTCTGAAAAAAAAGATAACTATTATTTTCAAATTGTATACTTACAAGATGATCCAACGGCGAGAACAAAAAGGGTAATAGTGGATTTAGCGAACATCTTGCTGTATGTGCTACTGCAGTAATGCTGAAGACGAAACTGTGAAGCATCGATCGCTGTCGCCGCTTATATAGGAACTTGTGTGACGTAGTTGTATTTCTCAGCCAATCAAGCACTTTAAATCAAAACCGGACTGAATTGGACTCAATAAGGTCAGAAAAACAGGAACATTAGCCTGTTTTTCGAAATGTCTAAAAATAAAAACAAGTCATTAGTGCTGAGTCATTTTTCATTGGTCAAAAATAAGTATGACCGCAGTTTAGGTATCGGGATTGGCACTGACGCATAACCTATCTCGTATAAAAGCCGCCAGTGCTGCTAATAACAACAGTATCTCTCAAACATCGAAACCATGCGGATCGCAGTAGTGTGTGTTGCATGTTTCTTTGCTTTCACCGACGCAAGTGAGTAATTAACTATTTTCTTTTTTTTAACTTCCATCTTCAAGCGTCTGTTCATTAAAAAAATTGTAGAAGTTAAAAATTTAATCCCTAATTTTCTAAATCAAATTATACGAATCAATTTTTAAGTATAAAGTCAGTTAAAAAGTCTTTTACTTGTATAATCGCTCGGTTTTTGAGCTTAATATTGTATACCAGCTACTTTTATGAACTCAAAGCGCTTAAAATTCTAGAGATGGCCGTCAAGGTCCTTCATTTTTCAAATCTCCTTTAATTGATCAATTTTGATTGGGGTGAAAAAAAAATCAATAAGTTTAAAACAAATGTTATTATTTTTTCAGAGACCGCGGCGTCTGAAAGTCGAAGGAACGACGGTAACTTATTCTCTGTAAACGGCCCTGGCCAACATATATACAAGTATAATGATGAAGACGGCCACTTCTTAACATCTTCTACTGAGAAAATAAATGAAGATGGATCGAAGTCATTGATATATGAGCGAGAGATAATGGAGAAGGCAAAAAACAACACTTATATCATGCGTGTGACGGAAGAAAAAATAATTGATCAACAAAATTCCAATGTTATCAAGACTATTTACACTAGAGTCGTTCAAAACATCGACGACAATAATCCTAACAAGTCAACTTATGAAACCTACCGGAGTGTGTCTAATCCGAATTCTCAAAAAAACAGTCTATTTGGTGACGACTTACCAGCTAGCAATATGTTTAAACCGCGAGAATTGGGGCCCCATATACCAGTGGGAGACTTAAATGTTAATTTAACTCAGAATGAGTTTGACTTCACCCAACATAATAAAGTGCCTACGCCATCAACTTCTGATGGAAATGGAACCCCATCCGAACAAGCAAATGTAATGAATGGAGCTATTTCTCCTCAGTCTGAATCTGGAGCAGGAAGTTCTCAGCTGAACCCCACTCAACACTATCAAGTTCGTAGGCCCGAAACTCCTTCCAGAAGTAGGACACCATCTCAACAAGCAGGTGGAATGAGTGAAGCTAATGTTCCTCAGTATACACCTGGACAAGAACGTCTTCAGTCGATCTCCACTCAATATAATCAAGTTTCTAGGACCGACGCTCTTTCCAGAAGTAGGGCACCATCTCAACAAGAAGGAGGAATGAATGAAGCCAATCCTCCCCAACATACATCTGGACCAGGATACTACCAGCAAGCCCCGACCGATTACAATCAAATTCTTAGGCCCGCAACAGGCCGCAGAAACAGGGCGCAATCTCATCTAGGAGGTGAAATGAGTGGAGCTAATCTTCCTCAGTATACACCTGGACAAGAACGTCTTCAGTCGATCTCCACTCAATATAATCAAGTTTCTAGGACCGACGCTCTTTCCAGAAGTAGGGCACCATCTCAACAAGAAGGAGGAATGAATGAAGCCAATCCTCCCCAACATACATCTGGACCAGGATACTACCAGCAAGCCCCGACCGATTACAATCAAATTCTTAGGCCCGCAACAGGCCGCAGAAACAGGGCGCAATCTCATCTAGGAGGTGAAATGAGTGGAGCTAATCTTCCTCAGTATACACCTGGACAAGAACGTCTTCAGTCGATCTCCACTCAATATAATCAAGTTTCTAGGACCGACGCTCTTTCCAGAAGTAGGGCACCATCTCAACAAGAAGGAGGAATGAATGAAGCCAATCCTCCCCAACATACATCTGGACCAGGATACTACCAGCAAGCCCCGACCGATTACAATCAAATTCTTAGGCCCGCAACAGGCCGCAGAAACAGGGCGCAATCTCATCTAGGAGGTGAAATGAGTGGAGCTAATCTTCCTCAGTATACACCTGGACAAGAGAGTCTTCAGTCGTACCCTTCTCAATATAATCAAGTTCCTAGGCCCGAAGATCTTTCCAGAAGTAGAGCACCATCTCAACAAGAAGGAGGAATGAATGAAGCCAATCCTCCCCAACATACATCTGGACCAGGATACTACCAGCAAGCCCCGACCGATTACAATCAAATTCTTAGGCCCGCAACAGGCCGCAGAAACAGGGCGCAATCTCATCTAGGAGGTGAAATGAGTGGAGCTAATCTTCCTCAGTATACACCTGGACAAGAACGTCTTCAGTCGATCTCCACTCAATATAATCAAGTTTCTAGGACCGACGCTCTTTCCAGAAGTAGGGCACCATCTCAACAAGAAGGAGGAATGAATGAAGCCAATCCTCCCCAACATACATCTGGACCAGGATACTACCAGCAAGCCCCGACCGATTACAATCAAATTCTTAGGCCCGCAACAGGCCGCAGAAACAGGGCGCAATCTCATCTAGGAGGTGAAATGAGTGGAGCTAATCTTCCTCAGTATACACCTGGACAAGAACGTCTTCAGTCGATCTCCACTCAATATAATCAAGTTTCTAGGACCGACGCTCTTTCCAGAAGTAGGGCACCATCTCAACAAGAAGGAGGAATGAATGAAGCCAATCCTCCCCAACATACATCTGGACCAGGATACTACCAGCAAGCCCCGACCGATTACAATCAAATTCTTAGGCCCGCAACAGGCCGCAGAAACAGGGCGCAATCTCATCTAGGAGGTGAAATGAGTGGAGCTAATCTTCCTCAGTATACACCTGGACAAGAGAGTCTTCAGTCGTACCCTTCTCAATATAATCAAGTTCCTAGGCCCGAAGATCTTTCCAGAAGTAGAGCACCATCTCAACAAGAAGGAGGAATGAATGAAGCCAATCCTCCCCAACATACATCTGGACCAGGATACTACCAGCAAGCCCCGACCGATTACAATCAAATTCTTAGGCCCGCAACAGGCCGCAGAAACAGGGCGCAATCTCATCTAGGAGGTGAAATGAGTGGAGCTAATCTTCCTCAGTATACACCTGGACAAGAACGTCTTCAGTCGATCTCCACTCAATATAATCAAGTTTCTAGGACCGACGCTCTTTCCAGAAGTAGGGCACCATCTCAACAAGAAGGAGGAATGAATGAAGCCAATCCTCCCCAACATACATCTGGACCAGGATACTACCAGCAAGCCCCGACCGATTACAATCAAATTCTTAGGCCCGCAACAGGCCGCAGAAACAGGGCGCAATCTCATCTAGGAGGTGAAATGAGTGGAGCTAATCTTCCTCAGTATACACCTGGACAAGAACGTCTTCAGTCGATCTCCACTCAATATAATCAAGTTTCTAGGACCGACGCTCTTTCCAGAAGTAGGGCACCATCTCAACAAGAAGGAGGAATGAATGAAGCCAATCCTCCCCAACATACATCTGGACCAGGATACTACCAGCAAGCCCCGACCGATTACAATCAAATTCTTAGGCCCGCAACAGGCCGCAGAAACAGGGCGCAATCTCATCTAGGAGGTGAAATGAGTGGAGCTAATCTTCCTCAGTATACACCTGGACAAGAGAGTCTTCAGTCGTACCCTTCTCAATATAATCAAGTTCCTAGGCCCGAAGATCTTTCCAGAAGTAGAGCACCATCTCAACAAGAAGGAGGAATGAATGAAGCCAATCCTCCCCAACATACATCTGGACCAGGATACTACCAGCAAGCCCCGACCGATTACAATCAAATTCTTAGGCCCGCAACAGGCCGCAGAAACAGGGCGCAATCTCATCTAGGAGGTGAAATGAGTGGAGCTAATCTTCCTCAGTATACACCTGGACAAGAACGTCTTCAGTCGATCTCCACTCAATATAATCAAGTTTCTAGGACCGACGCTCTTTCCAGAAGTAGGGCACCATCTCAACAAGAAGGAGGAATGAATGAAGCCAATCCTCCCCAACATACATCTGGACCAGGATACTACCAGCAAGCCCCGACCGATTACAATCAAATTCTTAGGCCCGCAACAGGCCGCAGAAACAGGGCGCAATCTCATCTAGGAGGTGAAATGAGTGGAGCTAATCTTCCTCAGTATACACCTGGACAAGAACGTCTTCAGTCGATCTCCACTCAATATAATCAAGTTTCTAGGACCGACGCTCTTTCCAGAAGTAGGGCACCATCTCAACAAGAAGGAGGAATGAATGAAGCCAATCCTCCCCAACATACATCTGGACCAGGATACTACCAGCAAGCCCCGACCGATTACAATCAAATTCTTAGGCCCGCAACAGGCCGCAGAAACAGGGCGCAATCTCATCTAGGAGGTGAAATGAGTGGAGCTAATCTTCCTCAGTATACACCTGGACAAGAGAGTCTTCAGTCGTACCCTTCTCAATATAATCAAGTTCCTAGGCCCGAAGATCTTTCCAGAAGTAGAGCACCATCTCAACAAGAAGGAGGAATGAATGAAGCCAATCCTCCCCAACATACATCTGGACCAGGATACTACCAGCAAGCCCCGACCGATTACAATCAAATTCTTAGGCCCGCAACAGGCCGCAGAAACAGGGCGCAATCTCATCTAGGAGGTGAAATGAGTGGAGCTAATCTTCCTCAGTATACACCTGGACAAGAACGTCTTCAGTCGATCTCCACTCAATATAATCAAGTTTCTAGGACCGACGCTCTTTCCAGAAGTAGGGCACCATCTCAACAAGAAGGAGGAATGAATGAAGCCAATCCTCCCCAACATACATCTGGACCAGGATACTACCAGCAAGCCCCGACCGATTACAATCAAATTCTTAGGCCCGCAACAGGCCGCAGAAACAGGGCGCAATCTCATCTAGGAGGTGAAATGAGTGGAGCTAATCTTCCTCAGTATACACCTGGACAAGAACGTCTTCAGTCGATCTCCACTCAATATAATCAAGTTTCTAGGACCGACGCTCTTTCCAGAAGTAGGGCACCATCTCAACAAGAAGGAGGAATGAATGAAGCCAATCCTCCCCAACATACATCTGGACCAGGATACTACCAGCAAGCCCCGACCGATTACAATCAAATTCTTAGGCCCGCAACAGGCCGCAGAAACAGGGCGCAATCTCATCTAGGAGGTGAAATGAGTGGAGCTAATCTTCCTCAGTATACACCTGGACAAGAGAGTCTTCAGTCGTACCCTTCTCAATATAATCAAGTTCCTAGGCCCGAAGATCTTTCCAGAAGTAGAGCACCATCTCAACAAGAAGGAGGAATGAATGAAGCCAATCCTCCCCAACATACATCTGGACCAGGATACTACCAGCAAGCCCCGACCGATTACAATCAAATTCTTAGGCCCGCAACAGGCCGCAGAAACAGGGCGCAATCTCATCTAGGAGGTGAAATGAGTGGAGCTAATCTTCCTCAGTATACACCTGGACAAGAACGTCTTCAGTCGATCTCCACTCAATATAATCAAGTTTCTAGGACCGACGCTCTTTCCAGAAGTAGGGCACCATCTCAACAAGAAGGAGGAATGAATGAAGCCAATCCTCCCCAACATACATCTGGACCAGGATACTACCAGCAAGCCCCGACCGATTACAATCAAATTCTTAGGCCCGCAACAGGCCGCAGAAACAGGGCGCAATCTCATCTAGGAGGTGAAATGAGTGGAGCTAATCTTCCTCAGTATACACCTGGACAAGAACGTCTTCAGTCGATCTCCACTCAATATAATCAAGTTTCTAGGACCGACGCTCTTTCCAGAAGTAGGGCACCATCTCAACAAGAAGGAGGAATGAATGAAGCCAATCCTCCCCAACATACATCTGGACCAGGATACTACCAGCAAGCCCCGACCGATTACAATCAAATTCTTAGGCCCGCAACAGGCCGCAGAAACAGGGCGCAATCTCATCTAGGAGGTGAAATGAGTGGAGCTAATCTTCCTCAGTATACACCTGGACAAGAGAGTCTTCAGTCGTACCCTTCTCAATATAATCAAGTTCCTAGGCCCGAAGATCTTTCCAGAAGTAGAGCACCATCTCAACAAGAAGGAGGAATGAATGAAGCCAATCCTCCCCAACATACATCTGGACCAGGATACTACCAGCAAGCCCCGACCGATTACAATCAAATTCTTAGGCCCGCAACAGGCCGCAGAAACAGGGCGCAATCTCATCTAGGAGGTGAAATGAGTGGAGCTAATCTTCCTCAGTATACACCTGGACAAGAACGTCTTCAGTCGATCTCCACTCAATATAATCAAGTTTCTAGGACCGACGCTCTTTCCAGAAGTAGGGCACTTTTTTTTTTTATTTTTAATATCAGAATTAATTTATAATATATTTAAAACTTTAAAATTATTGAATTAAATTAAAATCTTTTCTTAAAAGAAAGTAGTAATATGATAGATTATATATTAATATCTTTATTGACAGGTGTATTTGATGCCTGCCCCCCCGACCAGCAGCACTCGCTTCGCTCGTGCCGCAAATGTCGGGGGCAGGCATCAATTTTTTTCAACGCAATTTTTAACGTACTTTCGACCGCATAGCAAGAAAAATAGTATACACTACATGGGCAGAAATTTGAGAGCCCTGAACTGCGTGCCATGATGCCCTCGGCTTCGCCTCGGGCACATGGCGCGCAGTGCAGGAATCTCAACTTTCTGCCCTTGTAGTGTAATATACTATATCCAGATAGAAGTTTAAGAATCTTAAATAATGAGACAGCGTTACACTAAAATTTCCAATATAACTTTCTCCAAATATTTTTTTATAAATTAAAAAAATTAAGTTTCATAGACTATTTGTTTCAAATTCATCATGAAATTCATCTGGAATTCCAGATGAAATTCATATTCGTTTCACAATCTGAAGTTCATCCGGAAATTCATCCGGAACCAAAATTTTTTTTGTACGGGCACTCAGTAATGCTGTAACAAAAAATAACAATAAGAATTTTATTATTAACCTCGTAGCCAAGATAAGTGCTCTGTTATAAAATTTGAAATTCGAGTCAATATATTGGAAAATAACATATATTTAGGTAACATATAACAGGTAATTGGCAGTTCCCCTCTTTCGGAAATTGGATACCATCCCAACAAACAGCTGGAATAAGTGGAGCTAATCTTCCGCCGTATAAATCTTGATCAAAATATTGTTTGCAGGGCTCTTACTGAATGTAGTTAATTCCTACGCTCAAAAAAGTTTATAGAAGAAAGGCACTTTTCTTATTATAAACCCAAATTGTTTACTGCCACGTCATATTTGAAGGTCAATAGAAGATATAACCGTCATTGATGTGATGTTTCCTGGAACATTGGCATCGAATGATTAGTTCCAGTAAGCATTTTACATTCCTCGTGTACATAACACGTGATGTGAGTTCATGAGACTCAATTAGAATTATATTTTTTTCGGAATTGACTGTACGAATGTGTTTGTATTTTTAAACTAGCATCACGTGGGAATGTCACGTGGCTGCATTCTGGTGGAGGCTAAAAGTCGTTACTATGCGTCGATGTAGATCCTACTGTTACTAGGTAATCGGGAGATGGTTCTATCTAGAGAAATTATCATATTTTTCGCATTATTTCTGATTTGTATCTTTAAGGTAGTGCACTCTTAAAAAAAGTTTCACGATCGGTCAAAAAAACTGAAACCTGTTATAATAATTTTCTTAGAATAACCCAAAAAAAATTTTAAATTTTCTGACCGTGTTGTTTTTTTTAGAAATTATCATTACACTGACTACTTCTACAAAAATAACCATCAGTAAAAGCGAATAAGAAACAATCTGTGAGAAAGGTAGAACTATCGAGTGAAAAGAGAAAAAATAGTATGAACTATGTCGTGAGTGAACTATCTTAAAAATGTTTTAAGTGCAGATGGGCACTAATTTACATTCTTCTTGTTAATTAATCTGTCTGATTTAATTATTTATTCATCTGCAATATTTAGCTCATATAATTTGAAGAGAGAGCAGAAGGAAGGCAATCGGTTTCAACCTAATCATAGTAACTTTACTTATAATTTCATAAAGGGTAATCGAAAAGAAATGCCTGAAATTTTTACAATAAAATACGTTTATTTATGAAATACAGCTTTGGTAATTAAAAAGAGCTTAACACTATGTTAAACAGCAAAAATTTGTGACGTCGTCCGAGATCCGTTACTTTATGATCATCAGATGAATACTGTTAAATCAGCCTTTATCAATACTTATTGTTGGTCTGATTAGTTTTTGATCCCCAATTGATCTTAACACGAGAGTTTTTCTTGTTAAATCTGTTCTTCTTTAAAATTGTGTTTGATCCATAGATAGAACCATCTTTGGAATTAGATCCTCCATACGTGTTATTATTTTGTTCGGTGTATGATCCATATGAATCACTACCACTTGAATTTGTTTGAATGAAGACATTATTTTTTTGAAGAGTACTTGATCCATAGAAGTTGTCACCTGTTGAATTAGTCCCGTCGTAGACATTGTTATTTTGTTTCGTGACAGACCCGTAAGTATTATTACCAGTTGAATTGTATTTGTAATGGGTATTTTCAAACTGAATGGTGTTTGAACCAAAGGAGTTTATTCCTGTTCCGTTAAAGTTTTTATGAATGTTGTTGTTTTGTTCAGTGTCTGATCCGTATTTATTGGTTCCTGATGAATTCATCTGCCTATCGATATTTTCGTGTTGTATCGTAACCGATCCATCATCAATAGTGCCTTTTGAATCAGCCTGATTACTCATGTCGTTACTGTCGAAGGTATCTGATATCTGTCGATTGTTGTCATCTCTTTCGATGATTTTGGAATTTATCTGTTGAATGTTGTCATTTTTTTCGATAATATTGGAATTTTTCTGTCGATCGCCGTTATTTGTTCCGAAAATATGCAATTTTACCTGTCGAATTTCATCATCTTTTTCGATGATATTGGAATTTTTGTGCCGAATGTCGTCATCTCCTTCGATAATATTAGAAGTTATCTGTCGATGTGAGTCATGAAACTTCGGAGATTGAGGTTGGTCTGCAAATTGAACCAGATAGACTTCTTTCTTTGAATCCGTATTTATTTCAAGAATTATATACTGCGCGGGGTTTGCATCCACGAATATATTAGAACCGCCATTTGAAGACACTGAAACATAAAGTAATAATAGCGTAAATACCGTGTAGATAGTATCAGCAAATTTTAGTATCACTTACAATTAGTTAAATTTTAGTATCAAATTTATAAATTATCAAGAATCTCAATCATATTTTATTTTGTAAATATAATTTTCACAATCCATATAAAGCCATTCTGTACATTAATGAAAATAATGTCTGAACATTATTGAAAAATGAATTCATGGCATTACCAAACTATAAAGCACTACGTTAATTATATTTTATACTATAAATACTCACATCCACTTCCAACTGCCAAAATGAATGAAATAACCGGAGCTTTTAACAACAGCATAATGATTTCGTTCGGAAGCCACATTATTCACCTTCACTTTATGACCCACGAAAACTGAAATGAGATTATCGAAGACAATGAGACGCTTATATAAGATTCCTTGTGTGACGTATGTGTACCCAGGGACCAATTGAAAGCTTCTGAAGGGAAGCCATGAGTGGATCGGGATCTGGAAAGCTCTTTCCGGGAGTGAGTGGGGATAGAAGCAATGGTGGTATGTAATATGACTCTGTGAGTCACGATTTAGGGGTGGAGTGAATTCCTGTACCGTCCCTTCCTTTTAGTTTTTAGTCTAGCTCTCGTTCATCAACTCGTAGAAAGGAATCTTATTCTATCATCTGGATGAATGTAGTCATGAAACGACTAAATGAGATTGCGAAACGTTTCTAGCAGAAGAAGAAAGTATGTACTATTGATAGAATGCGCATCAATTCGTTACGATAAAAGAATTGCGTAAATTCGAAAAAAAAAAAAATTACTACACAGTATGTATAGTAGGGTTTGCCAAAATTCAATTTCCGTGAGGAACCTTTTAAAATTGGAATTTTGAGTTCTGCTTTTAACAGGAGCTGTTTGGGCATTTTCTGAGATATTTTGGAGGAAAATGATTTATTTGGTTTTCATAGAATTTTTTAACAGGAGCTTTACTTTCCGGGAAATTCCGCTGAAATTTCAAAATATCTCAAGAAATGCCCAAACACAGCTCCTGTTAAAAGCGAAACTCAAAATTCCAATTTTTAAAGGTTCCTCATGGAAATTGAATTTTGGCACACCCTAATGTATAGTCTACATGCCGTGCATACCCGATGAGCTCTGGTATTCTAACGGTGTATTTTTGGAATGAATACTAATGAGATAATGACCGTGGTCGTAATTATTTAAGTGACCAGTTTCTTGGTAACGTACATAAATAACAATGATAATGAAGTCACGTAGCCAATATTAACTTTGACATCAAATGTCTACTTTCAGTAAGTATCACACATGTTATGCGTGGCTGAAACACACAAACAATGCGTCATGGGAAACGATAAATTTCCCAATTAAGTAGCTGATGAAATACAATAACATCAGTACCGAGGACTGATTAGCATGTTAACTCTCAATCTTAAGAGATTGACGATGTGTCGTTACATTTCGTCCTTGGTAAAGTACATAAATAATAATGATAACGACGTCCCGTTGCCAACATCTTTGACCTTAAATACCACGTTCTGTAGGTATCACACATGTTATGTGTGGCTGGAACACATAAACAATGCGTCATGGGAAACGATAAATTTCCGAATTAATTAGCTGATGGAGTACAATGACATCATCACCAAGAACTGATGAGCATGTGTTGACTCTCAATCTCTCATCGTTACACTTCTGGTGATCGATCTGAGTTATCGTTCACGTTAATGATTGTCATTTTGATTTCTGGTGGTAAACTATTACTTGTAAGGACTCCCAAAGCATTTTCATTGTCTTCCTTACTGACAGTGCCTATAGATTCTAAAATTCCATTGTCGGCTTGATTCACTTGATACATTTCAGCTGGCATTGCTTGGATACCTGGAAAAGAAAAATTTTGTTATAATTTGGCGACTAAAATACACTCGCACATCCCGGGAAAAACGGATTAGATCTGGCCAGATCTGCCTTAGCAGATCTGGCCAGATCTTTAAATTGTCTCTATCTGACGAGATCTGGTCAAATATAATCAGATCTGACCAGATCTGGTCAGATTTTAAAATTGCCCAGGTAAAAAAGATTATATATAATTATATATACTCATACATAATTATATACGAAAAATGGCCATATATAATTAGACACAATTATATAAAATTATTTCCATAAATAAAAAAAAAAAAATCGGCGCGCGCGGGAACCGAACCTGGGACCTGATGCTTGAAAGACTAATTCATTACCTGTTTACCAACGAAGCTTACTTGAAGAGCAGAGTTTGTAGTAACTACAAATAATGTGAATCGTGTCCATGATCTATGCGTAATGAACAAAGTTTTTTATCAAATTTGCAAATTATTAATTATCAATATACGCTGATAGAAAGATTTATTAACTATTAACAAATTAATTTATTCGAAGACAATTATTTAATTGATTAAATTCTAATAAATATTTTTTAACATTCAATAAATATTTATTTTGGAGAAAAGTATATATTTAGTAAAATAGTTTATAAGTATTTATTAATAGTTAACAAATATAGTTATATCTGGCCAGATATAATAAAATCTTTCTATGTCTGACTTTTTTTTCAACCCAGATATAGTTATATCTGTTTAGACCTGATCAGATATGCCTATATCTGATTATGTCTCCAATCCCATATCTGACCAGATATAAATAGATCTGACCAGATATAATTATATCTGGTCAGATCTAAACCGTTTTCCCCGGGATGTTGATAATTTTACTAACTATTCAGAATATCAATAATGTTTTGTAACTTTTTACTTACATGATAACTGAAGGGAAACTGCCACCAACACTGCTACTGCTCGCTTGGAAAACATGACTGGATGCGTTTCTGAATTCAACTGTAACTCAATTCAGTTTTCGTGTCTTATAAAGGATATTGTTATCAAATTATAGGACGTATTTCAATGAATAACAAGTATTGAACCTACGGGTTACATGTTTGTTCGGTTTTTTTCCAGAGGATGATAAGGGAACCAACCCGTCATCGGAGGAAAAATAAAATACACTTTCCTGTTCGTAATTAATGTATTTTTAGAATTATATCAATTATAATGTTATTCATTAACTATTTTTAAGGTTGACCTTAGAAATAGTTAATGAATAACATTATAATTGATATAATTCTAAAAATACATTAATTACGAACAGGAAAGTGTATTTTATTTTTCCTCCGATGACGGGTTGGTTCCCTTATCATCCTCTGGAAAAAAACCGAACAAACATGTAACCCGTAGGTTCAATACTTGTTATTCATTGAAATACGTCCTATAATTTGATAACAATATCCTTTATAAGACACGAAAACTGAATTGAGTTACAGTTGAATTCAGAAACGCATCCAGTCATGTTTTCCAAGCGAGCAGTAGCAGTGTTGGTGGCAGTTTCCCTTCAGTTATCATGTAAGTAAAAAGTTACAAAACATTATTGATATTCTGAATAGTTAGTAAAATTATCAACATCCCGGGGAAAACGGTTTAGATCTGACCAGATATAATTATATCTGGTCAGATCTAAACCGTTTTCCCCGGGATGTTGATAATTTTACTAACTATTCAGAATATCAATAATGTTTTGTAACTTTTTACTTACATGATAACTGAAGGGAAACTGCCACCAACACTGCTACTGCTCGCTTGGAAAACATGACTGGATGCGTTTCTGAATTCAACTGTAACTCAATTCAGTTTTCGTGTCTTATAAAGGATATTGTTATCAAATTATAGGACGTATTTCAATGAATAACAAGTATTGAACCTACGGGTTACATGTTTGTTCGGTTTTTTTCCAGAGGATGATAAGGGAACCAACCCGTCATCGGAGGAAAAATAAAATACACTTTCCTGTTCGTAATTAATGTATTTTTAGAATTATATCAATTATAATGTTATTCATTAACTATTTTTAAGGTTGACCTTAGCTGTATCATATTTTCTGTTACCGTGTCGTTAATTCAGTGTTGCAGTTACGAGTCATCGTTTTAAACTAAGTGATATGACGATCTGCTGTTAGGTGTGCATGCGCATGAAAGTGTAAAATTGGCAAATTGTATGGCATTTTTTTTGAGATCTCATACAGATTTTTCCGAGCACTATGTTGATTCTAGTGCTTCTAATGTGTTAGTTAGACAATTTTTAATCCTTCAATATTAACTAGCTCCTATGGTACGATCTGAGCTTTATAATTATCGCCTACATTGCGAAAAAAGTGCATAGTTAGCTGAAGTATAACGTCACAAGTATAGAAAACTATAGTTTTCTAAACTTTTTTGTGTAGTTACTCGAACTATGCATTAATTGAAGTAACTATTGATAGATACTTGTATCGACTATATTTCAATAAATATTTTTCTGTTCTCGTGTTCAACAAAAAATTATTAGGTGACCATAAGATTGTTACTGACAATGTCTCAGATAGTTTAATTAGAAGAGCTCTTTGTGCGAAACCAAAAGATCCACCCAAAAGATTATGCCCATTTTCAACTGAAAATAGTACGTGGAACTATGTATTACAGTTCAATATGATAAATTATTTTAGGTATAAGAACTTCTATTAAATAGAGGTGTTTCTATATAACTAGAGTTAAGTAACCCAGTTGCATGTTGCAACCCAATTATATGTTTAATTTATTAGTTAGCTTTTTGTGTGTAGGAACAAAATAAATTCTATTCATATAAATTCGAAGATATATTCATTTATTTATAAAAATACAAAACTTTTTACACTATAAAAATTGGCGTTTTTCTTATATCAAAACTTACTTAAAGCTAGAACATTTAGATTGCTAGGTTTTTGAAGTTATCATATACATTTTTGGTGATGAAAAAAAATAGATATGTCCAGTACTTTAAGAACACTTTTTCTTTCTTCTAAGAAATTGATGAGAAATGAGTTTTAGATAGTGTGTTTTCTAGGAGTCGATTAACAAATGGCTCTTCATTTGTAGCAGTATTTTTATACATACTTTCATAAGTAGACTCTACTGAGTTTATTTCAGATGCCATGTTGGAATCAATCGAAACTGGAGGTTTTGTTGAGCTTGTCACAGTGGGATAATTAACTCCTTTTTCGTTATTAGCTTCTATGGGTCCCAGTTCAGATGCTCTGCTGGAATTAATCAGAACTGGAGGTTGTGTTGAGGTTGTAAAAGTTGGATAAGTAACTCCTTCTTTACTGGGTTCCTTGGGTTGCAAGTCAGATGCCACAATGGGATCAATCAAAACTGGAGGTTGTGGTAAAGTTGTAAAAGTTTTAAAGCTGATCTCATTTTCTATCCGAATGACAGCAGATGTTAGTTTTTGAAGTGCCTCTTTAATAGCATGTAGTTCAGAAAATAAATCTTCACGGGTAATGTGGCGTTTTTCAGATGTTTCAGATTCATATTCATGCTGGTGAGTTCTGGATGTGTCAAACAATTCAGGTTGAGTAAATTTCAAATTCCCAACGAAACGTCCAGGTCCTGAAAATATTCCATTTGCAACGATCGATCCAGGTCGACCGATACCGCTACTTCCACTGGATAATCCACTAATAGGTCTTACAAAAGGTCTTGTTGTGAAGGGAGCTCTATGTCTTGTACTGTATTCAGGCCTGATATGATAGTCAGGCATTGGATGACGCATAAAAGCAGGACCCTTTGGAGGTGCCCAGGAATAAGACTTTGGAATCATGAAAGATTCTCTATTGTATTTATCAGATTCATCGAAGTCGTTTGTTGGTGGCATAACTCTCTCGGCTAAGGGATCTGATTTTGTAAAGGAATTATCGATCTGTTGACTAAGGCGAGCAACGTCAGCAAACGGATTATCTCGGATTCTTTCCCATTGGTATTGATATGGATAAGCTTGCGTACCTATAACAAGAAAGTAACATTAAAAGTATATTCAATTAAAAAATCATTGATAGCTAGATAATGGAATCACATATAATATGGATGTTAATAATAAACCCCCATGAAAATAATATATATACTGCGTATATATCCGAGTATATATATTTTTTGCCCACTTATAGATACCTGCGCATATCAATGGGGATATACTAGCGCTCACATGTGTCCCATTATACAGAAAATTTTTTTCTGATCTACAGTCTGGTCTGTCGTAACATCTACAGTCTATGCGCAGGTATATAAGTGGGCAAAAAATATATATACTCGGATATATACGCAGTATATATACTCGGATATATACCGCGTATATATACGAATATATTATTTTCGTGGGGGAATTTTTCGAATGTGAACTTACATGATTGACTCAGGAGAGCTGAGAGCAGCACAAACGTACTTTTGACGAGCGACATGTTCGAAATTTAAATACGAATGCCGCTCTTTGGACAGTAATTCGTTTTATACTATCAGTTGTTTATCACTTTGCAAATACGTCACAAGCGCGGTCATACGAGCTATCAGCTTGTTTTAATGTTTTCTGACATTTAATTCTACTTCAAGGTCATAGGTCACTTTTGTGCGTGATGGTAAACAGGAAAAACCAACCTTTGCGGGTTGATGGAAATTTACTGGAATTTTTGCTGATAACAACTAGGGAAATTGACACAAATGTTGAGCACATAATGATCCTAAGACCTACAAATCAGCTGGCACATGATCATTCTAATTGGAATTGAGTTGCATGACGCAATCGTTGGTATATATTAGACATAATGTAGCTTAGTCCAAATCATGTGTGGAATGTGGTTACTACGTTTAATATTTGATCTCTGTAATAGAACTAGGTAACTAAAATTATTGTATCACTTTTAATCACACTGTTTTAGTGTCATTATAAATTTCATATTGTATTTCTAAATTATATACCTAAACTTTAAACAATATATGCATTAACTAAATTTTTATTCTCGGTAATTAATGTACCTTTTTCCCAATAACATGAAGCTCAGAAGTCCCCAGTTTATTTTATAAGTTTAACAAGGGCCGAATATAATATTTTATTGAATTAATAGTAAATCAATAATCTATTAACTAATTACTTACCGTTTGACACGTAACATCTACCAAAAAAAATTTGTATTACCTTCATATACGGAAAGAACATAAAGACACTTCATATCCTCGTATAGTATACTCCGTGATATCTGTGGTGAAAAAAAATTTCAGACTATAGCCAATATACTTCAAAGTATACTAAATTATTTTTTGAATATACTCCGTGTCATTTCCGATTTAATCAATTAATTTTTCTGGTTATATGGGAGATGACACGGAGTATATTCCAAAAATAATTTAGTATACTTTGAAGTATATTGGCTATAGTTTGAAATTTTTTTTCACCACAGATATCATGGAGAATACTATACGAGGATGTGCAGTGTCTTTTTATTATTTCCGTGTATAGGGTAGAAGTACCGTTTGTGGCCACTGTACCGTTTATGGCCATTTATTGTTCAAATAAACGATAGAAATGAATTTATGTTAATAAACCATTACAAACTCAATTTGTTTTAATATAATATTTTTAAAACTCAACAAAAATATGGTTATAATATTGTTATTTTTTATAAATTAATTCAAATGTTAACTGGCCAAACACGGTGCTAAGGTGGCCAAAAACGGTACTTCTACCCTATTATTATAAAGACAACTACTGAACACGCGATCAGTAATTTGACTGAAAGGTTTTTTATCATAAGGGTTGTTAAACAATAGTATATTACACTACAAGAGCAGAAAGTTGAGATTCCTGCACTGCGGGCATCATGGCACGCAGTTCAGGGCTCTCAAATTTCTGCCCATGTAGTGTATACTATTTTTCTTGCTATGCGGTCGAAAGTACGTTAAAAATTGCGTTGAAAATAATTGATGCCTGCCCCCGACATTTGCGGCACGAGCGAAGCGAGTGCTGCTGGTCGGGGGGGGGCAGGCATCAAATACACCTGTCAATAAAGATATTAATATATAATCTATCATATTACTACTTTCTTTTAAGAAAAGATTTTAATTTCATTCAATAATTTTAAAGTTTTAAATATATTATAAATTAATTCTGATATTAAAAATAAAAAAAAAAAAAACAACAAAAATAGAATTACTATAATACGTGAAATAGCATAGAAAAAAAAATTT